CATGGCGGGGCTATACCGAATTTGGTACTACAGTACGTGAATGGATGGCAAAGGTATGTGACAGGAGCAAACATGATAATCATGAGATGCGTGTCATGTAACAACATGACTACATACCACGCTCATGATGCGCTGGTGGCCGTTTCGCTAGCTTCACTTATACCAAATTCGGTATTACGCGACGTGAATGAATGACGAAGGTTTGATACTGGCGCAAACATAATAAACATGAGATGCGTGTCATGTAACAACATGACTACATGTTGCGCTCATGATGCGGTCACGGCCCTTTCGCCAGCTTCACATATGCCAAACTTGGTATTACGTGACGCAAATGGATGACGAAGGTATGTGACTGGTGCAAACATGATAATCATGAGGTGCGTGTCATGTGAGAACAAGACTACATGCCACATTCAAGGCGCCAGTACATTTCGACCTGACACGGTGCGCGTGCTCGCCAGCGTTCATTTCGTCGCGTCACGCCGGCATTGCCACGCCAAGCACCTGTCCTGCCATATATACTCGCAGGCGCGCGCCACGCTGCATTGCAGTATATCTACATGAAGCCATGTCTTAGTAAAAATGACGCATGCTTGTTTCAGCGCGTATGGCATCCCACCGTCACGAAAAGAGGGAGACGCAGTGTTGTCTGGGTAACGCATCGCCGCGGAATGCAGCATGTCGATTTCGCGCCGGTTCCCGTCGGGCCACGCCAACGGATGCTGGTCGCTCCTGGCGTCAGATTACAGAGAGCTCGCGTCTTGCTAACGTAGCGTCGCTGTGCGTGCGCGTGAACGCTACATTGGAATATATTGGGCCCTTCATGATGCGCTCGCGGCCGTTTTGCTAGCTCCACGTATACGCAGTTTGTTGTTACGTGGCGTCAATGGATGACAAAATATATGACTTGTGCAAACATGACAATCCTGACACGTGTTTTATGTAAGAACATGACAACATACCACGTTGATAGCGCTCTCGGCCGTTTTGCTAGCTGCACATATACTAAATTTGGTATCACGTGACGTGAATAAATGACGAAGGTAAACGACACATCCAAACATAATCGTGACACGGAAGTCACGTACGGCATCATTTACCTCCACCTCGTTACATTTTGCTGATTTTAGAGTGACATATCAACATTGATCATCCGTGCTTCGCACATCATCGATTCCCACTGTACGTGGGATCTGCCATTTTTTTATTTCTTAATCTGTTAAGTGATTAATTGAACCATGGATTTTGTTTATCATTTCTTATATTGATTGGAGAAATATGTTCACTAACTAATGAAGCTAACTTGTTTTGAAGAGTGTCCAGTTGTCTCGTACGGATCGATTATGAAAGGATAGTAAAAGTACGCTCTCACAGAACGTACATAATTCGTCATTTATAACAATGTAATTACCTTTATTATAATTGCGAATTGTTCTTGTTTTAGCTCCAGCGAGACGAAATGGAACGTTAAGAATCATTTGCATTAACCTGTGGTAACTGAAGCCTTCTATGTATGTTATATTTGATATAGTATTTGCTGCCGTTGTTTATACCAAGTCAGTATATTCGAGTCACGAGTGGGTTGGCTTATGATCTGGGCTAAGTTAAAATCTTATGTTAAGGCAATGAACGCAGTGGAGACATGGCAATTCGATGAAAGCAACTCCCAGTTTATTGAAAGAACTATTAAAGCTGCTAATAAATAAACGAGCTCAGTTGGAGAAGTTAACCGCACGAGTTATGGTGCTTCGTAAGTCGCTTAGAAATGATAGATTAGTGTCTGGACGGCAATAGCAGCAACCAATCAATAATTTTTTTCAAATCGAGTTATGCAAACAACCCATACTATTTCTATACTTGTAGCAGACGCCATTAGATAAGACGTTATTGCCTTTCTAATGCCTATAATTACGCCCCCACCCCTCCTGTTAACGCGATCACAATGGTAAATGTAATAAGTAATATATGGGGGACTAATTTCATTGTCTGAAATATCTGCATGAACCATGTCTCAGTGAAAATGATTATGTCCGAACCTATGTCATCAAGGAAAGAACAGACCTGGTCGATATTTTGCAGAAGGCTGCGAATATTAGTAAATAATATGGTGAGTTACGGTAAATCCTGAGGCTCAGGTGCCTGCTTGAATTCACAGCTGCGAGTACCATGCCTTAGCTATCTGGCCTAGTCGCACAACCGTGCTTGTTGCCTGGTCACACACGTATGTTGCATCATCTATGCGCAATCCGTCAACAGATAGCTTAACGAATTTTTTCTGGCCTTGGCGAATTTGATAAGCTTTCTTCTTGCCTCTCGCGTGGCAGGAGAGAATCCTTCCCGAATAGAAAACTCGGACTCTTTAAGCTTTCTTGCAGCGGACAAGATGCGCTTTGTCCTTATAGAAGGTCATTTTCGCAATGATAGGCCTCTTTTTGCTGTCAGCATGTTTGCCTAACCTGTTCACCCTTTCGAAATTTGTGTTGGATAAGTTAATGTCAAGCTTTTGTGAACAGAATCCCACAAGTTTCTGCTCGGACAAAGCCCAGTCTTCTTTTTCGTCATCCGCAATGTTAGAAGAAGAGCATGTTCAAGCGTCGCATTCTGTTCTCGGTGTCTTCGCACCGAGAAGAGATAGTGGCCAATCGATCAGATACACTGCGAAGGGCGTTAGCACTAGCTTCGGCATCATTCGAGCTGCTTCCACACGTAGAAGCAAGTGACAGTACAGTGTCTAGAAATATACTGCCTAGTGTGCTGAGCGCGCGCATTCTGTACGAGAGTGGGTGGCCGCGCATGTGATGACTGCACTCAGATGCCACAAGCGGCGCGCGTGTCGAGAGGGTGCACAAACGCGCGAAATTCCTCTCGTCCTGTTGCTGCCGGAGCCTCGCCACGTTTAAAAGCAGTGTGTGACAGCTGCCATCTGATTTACTGTGAAGTTCGACGGCGCTATATGTACCCTACAACACCCTGAGATGTTAAAAGCTAAGTGGCAATGCAAAGAAAGGACGTATACTGTGCCGCTGTGTCAAAGAAGTTAACGGTCGAACAAGGAAAAGGTGTCTTGTTTACCGCACTAACGGATTCTGCACAAATTCCTGAATGAAAAAGTAGGATCAAGAGGGCAGACAGAAGGCTAAATCCGAAGACTGTCGTGTGAGAAAAGCATTCTGAGAGTGACTCCACCGAAGTATCTTTTCGGATTAGGGTGGACGGTGTCGGGAATGAAATCGCCGTTTAGGCAAGATTTTAAACAATTCTTTATCTAAAAAATCTAAAATACCCTTTCGAATTTCAATCACACAGCTTTTCTCCTATGTCAACGTCGGACTCCCTTTCCAACAACGTTTTGAGTATCATATGTGGCGAGTGCAACATTATTTATTGCCATGTTATCATTCTTTGTTTTCACTGGAATCCTAATAGAAATCAGGCTAAGAGGTAAAGGTTTTAGGCTCTTCTGTGATAATTCTTGCTCTCAAGCACAAAGCACACTTTAAAAAAAACTCAGGTGGTTATACTGTCATGGTTTTTAAAATTAATTTCTTTGCGTACTGCAACCGCTTTGAGCATCTATCTATCTATCCGTCCATCTATCTATCCGTCCGTCCATCTATCTATCCGTCCGTCCATCTGTCCACCTGTCTGTCTATCCGTCCGCCCGTCTGTCCATCTGTGTGCCTGTCCGTCCGTCTATCCGTCCGCCCGTCCGTCCGTCCGTCTATCTGTTCATCCGTCTGTCTGTCTGTCCATTCGTCTGTCTGTCCGTCCGTCCTTTCATCTATCCGTGCGTCCATTCATTCTTCTGTCTGTCTATCCGTGCGTCCATTCATCCTTCTGTCTGTCTGTCCGTCTGTCTGTCCGTCTGTTCGTCCGGCTGTCTGTCTGTCGGTACGTCCGTCTGGCTGTCTATCCGTTCATCCGGCCGTCCGTCTGTCTCTCTGTCTGTCTGTCTCTCTATCTATCTATCCATTTATCTATCTATCTATTTATCTATCGAATCGCCTACGTCTGGGTGCCCTCACGATAACCCTCTTAACTTAGGGTCTTCGAAATTGCAAGAAGAGCCAAATGTTCGTGAAACGCCAATGCTGGTGCCAGTGTTGACTTTCTAATTTCTTGCATATATTTAGGACCACTTCATAATGCTTCACTCAATAAAAATTATAACAGAGTCACCTTGCATAGCAATGATTCCCAAGTTACGTGAAATCTGCATCTTTTGTTTGTTTGTTTTTGCGGGCAGTAGCGAATGGCGAAATGTATGCCATGAAATGATCTCCATTTGGTATTGCAAAGCACCAGTACTCTGAAAGCAATCGAGTAGTTTTTATACAATAAAGCATTATGTAAAAAACACTGGGAAATTGCAGGAAAATATTAGTTAACCTCGCGCGGCTCGGCCTCCTGCAGGCTTTGCAGCGCTTGCGGAGTGCAAGGATTGAACGCAAATGCACCCACTCGCAAAGCAGCACACCATGCGGGCGCTGCCGGCAGTCATCAGCTGCGGGGCCATGTCCTAGCCCGCGCTCAGCACACTAGGCAGCATATTTCTGGACACTGTAGTGACAGTGATGCAATCTTTGCGTTCAGCAACTTAATTTCACCATCAACGGCTTCCTGTTTCAATTTCAAAATATTAAACTCTGCGAGAAGTGTTTCCTGCTTTCTTCAAGCTTATCAATTGATTTCTGAGCAGCAGCGTGACCAGTTTTTGCACTAGTTGGCTCGGAAAGCAGGCCTGCTTGTGCCGCTTCCAATTTTTTAATTGTACCTAGAGCAGAAGAAAATGACTTTTTTTGAGCTGTAGTCATTCTTTCTGAATTCGGCTCAACATCGCCTCACAACATAAGTGTTAAAGCAGACAAGGCATAACTCATTTCCAATGCACAAGCTAAAAATCGCTTGAACACATCTTCTAGGTGTCGTGGGCACGACACCAGCAACAAATAATAATTATCGGATTTAACACAAGTAGCACCTTTCAGGGAACAAACCTGGAAAGGCGATGGACGTACGCTTTCCATCCTGGGAATGGTGTCGTGCCTGGAAGAAGTGGCTGCTGACTAACGATTATGAAGAATGTCAGCAGCGTCCAATGCAGTTCTGCTGTGTCTATGTTGCCAGATGAGCTGCCCGGCTGGCTGCAAACTTGGCATCTTGTGCACCCATTGCAGCCATCCTGGAGGGGAATCGTCTGCAGCTACGTTGCACGAACCAAGCAGTCCATAACAAATGATCCAGGTAAAGGCGACCTGGAAAGACAATAGACCTAAGCTTTTCATCCTTGGAATGGTGTCGTGCTCGGAAGAAGCAGCTGTTGACATGTCGTACAGAGTGCAATGTTTGTGCATGTTTTCAGCAAGAAAGGCGCATGAATACAACGCAAACAAGGTGATTTTTGTGCGTAGTTATCGCTAGTTGTCGCGTAAAAGCTTAAACTGCCACCTTATAATCAAATCGTAGTAGGCATGCGAATCAAATCGTAGTAGGCATGCCCAGGTATTGTCGCCCACTTAACATTGCGAGAGCAGTTCGAATCACGCTGTCTTAAAATTAGTGAATCGGATCATGAACAAGGCTATTGCATTCCAAATTGATTGTGCAACTTTTACAAACACCTTGAGCGTGCGTTTGCTCTGCTTTTTACACGTGTGATTCCTTTTCACCAGCAGCTGCCAATGAAAACACGAAAGTGGCGTAAGCTATCCCACGCAATGGTTCTTTGTCGAGAAAGGAATGAGAAAACGAAGATCATGGGTTCACGCGATATCGTATCCACGAGTGAAACGTGGCGAAAACTTGATGAGAAGTGATGTGAAGTGAGTGCATTCGGCCCGCCGGTCAGGCAGTCTGGAACCAGAAATTTATTAGTGAAACTGACGCGCTCTACATATATTCCTCACTGCAGCAAGCATATCTTTTTCAACGCTTGGTGGCGCTGACCTGAGTCCAAGCGAGCTGAGGCCACGCGTCGGAGCGTTCAAGTTAAAGGTGCTGACGGCTGTACAGCGTCAGCTTTACTCCACCACAAGAACCTGCTTCGACTGATGCTAACGCTGCCAAGTGTTGGACACGGCTCATTTACTGCAACAAATAATAGTTGAAGCGTGTGTCGATTTTTGCAGTAAATTTGCAGTTCACTTCTGCTTAACTGGCGGGTCCAAAACACACTTGGCCGGTCCGTTTTCACCACACTTTGCTTGTGAATATTTTTAGGCAGGCCCATGAAATTCATTACCAACGCTTATCTCAGCAATGACCCACTTTTTGTGACAACTCACGCATCTTTCTTGTTTGAAATTGCAGCCGCAGCTAAAAAAAGTAAAGTATTGGAAAAGCAGAGGAAACGCACAATCATAGCGCTTGTGAATATTTCACAATCAATAAATCTGAACTGTGATGAGCAAGCAGTTGATCTTCTATACAAATATACTACTCAGTTCAAGCAGCAACTGCAATTTCGAAAACGAATGGTGTGTTAGCTGTCGTACACAATGGTTCATTGCTGAGACAAGAATATGGCAATGAATCTGATGGGGGTGCGTGGAACATAGCCATGAGCGAAAAATGGCAAAAATGTACTTACCAAGTGAGTGCACTAAACCCACCGGTCAGGCAGACATGAAACAAAAAATTACTTTTCAAAACAACCCCCGCTCCCTTTATAAGGCGTAGCAAGGATGCAGAGCCTAACACTTGGCGGCACTGGCATCAGTCAAAGCAAGTTAAAGAGCTGCATCGAAGCAGTGAAATTAGGTGTGCCGATGGCTGGAAATTCTGTGGCTGGAAATATAACTTGAAGCTATGTTCATAAACAGGGCACTGTAGTCGCCAAATTGGAAACAGCCTATACAATGCATGCATGACAAAACATACACTCTACTGAAACCAGCAAGCTTCCTCATTAACCTCTCTATGCTTCTTCTTGTGGAGGCAATTGCTCCTGTGCAGGCTTGTGGCCGCCTTCTGCCGCTGACCGATTCCAACAGTTTCCCTGAATTTTCTATGCGTGTCGTACCGGCCTCATGTCTACCTCATTGTGATAGTAGACCACTTGACCAACTGGAAGTCCTTGGAACTCTCATCAGCCGACTCTAGGCGGCCCTTGAGGGCATCACACCTTTAGCTAGGTGAACCTGCACACACACAAACCGAAAACTATTTCGTAATAAAACAGCAGCAAACCAGCACGGATTACTTCATCTTGATCACTAATGTGCTGAGTTTTGTAAGCTCTAAATTACGCTTTAACCTGAAACACATGCAGTATACCCGCACCGATTTATCCTTGAGAGGGCAGTAAGAAATGAACTTGAGAGCTGTAAAACAGGTCAAAGAAAAAAAAATGCTGTGCTGAACCACACAAAATTTAATTTCAATTCATGCACTTGAAAACAAAATGTGCAACGTTTCCAACTTACATGTGATAAGCAGCAAAAACCTCTAAAGCACCTGTTGTGTCACATGCACCTAATAAACATAGTGCCACTATGACCAAGACTTGGCAAAAAAAGGACCTCACTTATAGCGGTAACTGTCCCAAGTGAGCCAGTGTCAATGAGCGATAACACAGCCCTGCAGGCAAGCAGGACGAGTTTTGAACTTTAAGTAAGATGTGGAAAGTTTTTCAGCCGTATTCGTGATGGTCTGGTTGATTTCGCATAAAATGCCGCCCAAAAAGTGGCTGTGACCTAATTCAGTTATGTCTGGGTGTGTGTAGCGAGAGGTACAGTTATTTTTATTTGAGAAATTAGCTAGAATCCGCAGTAGCTTTGCGAACACAGCCTGCCATAGGAAATGGCTGGCAGGCTGCATCCACAGAGCTGCTGCGTATGCCCACTGAATCTGTAGTTCTCAGATTGGTTCTCTGCACGGCTATGCTTTGCGAAGCATGTGGCTCATTCTTCATCTGTGTCCTTAGCTCGCTGCCTGTTTTTGGTTTTGTTCTGGAGTCCATGGCTCCTTTAAGCCCGTGGCTTCGACTCACTTTTTATATATGCCAACGATTCCGTCTGAGCCGCCACTTCTAAATTTACGATGCAATGTCAGCGCCTCCTCTGTTAAGCCTGAACAGCACAATAGAGTTGAACACGCACACACAATGCTGACTTTCAATTGTAAATGTTGTTGCAACGGTGTTTGCTTCTGCTCTGTCGCATCTCAGATGACGCGGTGAGTCGCGAAACCACCGAATGCAACAAAACGGCGATAATGTAGCCAATGTAGCTACTGCTACAAAAATCTGAAATAATATGCATAGTCAAATAGGGAATACTTTACGGTCCCACTAAGCATGGCGTTTTTATAACCTCAAAGTGGCATGGCAGTGATGGTGAGAGTCCTGATATCTTTTTTCTTGATTGGCATGCGCTGATCATATTGTTTGGGAAGATTAGGCAATGATGATAGCATCTAAAGATGAGGCGTCCATGATCAGTGACTAGACCTGTGCGCCGCCAGGCCGTGCCACCACCGCCATCTTTTTTTGCTCTACGCCGTTCGCGCCGCCACCAAAGTTCCGAAAAAGACCACGCCGCCGCCGCCGCCGGACAATAATTTGCGGCGTGCCGCCGTTTTTTTTTAATTTTTACCCGAGCGAAGAATCTGGACATAAAGTACACCACTTCACTTTTTTTCTGCAGCTTTAATATTTCTAAGAGCGGCATTTGCGGTGTCTCGACTGTTCTCTTGTTTCGGTGCAGCCCTGTCTATGTAAGAACCCAAAAACTACTTCAAAAGAAACACGGTCAATCTTGTTATTTTCTCATAGAATTTCTAGTTCTTTTGGTACCCTTAGTGATGCCAGAAAAGTAAATCACGTGGCATGATTGGATACATGATCTAGAATGGCCCATATACGAGAAATATTATCCTTAAACGGTTTTCTACCCTGCTTTGCCACACATTCACCACCCACCACACCCGTTCTTCCTCGCGTCTCGCAGAATTCTCATGTGCTATAACCTTGAGATTTCACTGCACTTTGTGAGTTTTGGATTGGGCAAGTGGAAATAAAAAGAGTGTGGGTGAGAAGTTCAAAATCCTGCATAGGCTTTATTCTTAGCGATGACATTGCACACATTCTCTATGAAGACAAATATCGGAGAGGCTGTAAGAACTCTAAAGAAAGTGCAGCACAGTGTAATCAAAAACGAAACTATAGAAAAAGGCTCCGGATATTTCATTCTTTCAAGGGGCGAATTCCTCACAGCAATTCAACGCGGCTATCCATAACAAAGGCCAGCCCCCTTCGGCAGTTTTCAGTTATTTTGGATTGTCAGAAGAATTATACGGACACTGTTTACAGGCTTTCATCATCCCTGAGATGCTTTGTATACCGTCCAAATAAATTAATTTTGTACGCACACCATATGCGGTTCCCACCAATGAAATCTCCCGAGCGCGATATCCAAGAACCCTACTGAAGCATAGATGAAACAATCTGCTCATCTCTATCGCACGGAAGGCGCGCGCGGTAATATCACTCCGCTTGCGATGCCTACACTCGATTGCTCCTCAACCGGAAAAGAAGTCCTGTCTGTCTTTTGATGGACGAAGGCGTATGTATGTGCATATCCCGTTAGAAGGCTGCGTGGCTCGATCCGCAGCTGCGAACTTTGAATATAAGGAAGGGATCTCGAGTGCTAGCAGGCGCTGGCGTGTTCGCTATTTCAGGATACATCAGCAAACAGCTCGTTTACTCTTCTACATTATATGATATCACTGTACATTTACTGCTTTTTTTGCCGGGAGCAGCCGCTTTCAAATACACTAGCGTTTTACAGTTTCCCAAAGATCCAATAAAAAGGAGTTAGCTCCAGCTAAAGTTTGTTACGAGGCTGTGAGTTCCGATTTCCCCCCCCCCCCCGTGTAAAATGCAAAGTAGTTGAAGGGTTCTTTGGCGATAATACTGTTGTAGTCGTCTCAAACTAAACGTTTTCTACTGAAAGACCTGAGATCACAACAGTTTTGAACTTGCTTCAAGTTTATGACACCTCGCACTCGACACTTAGCCTCCTCGTTTAAGGAATTTTAATGTTGCAGCAAATTTTCAATGTAGCTGCGCTCCTTCCTAAATTTTGTGATAATGCCTATCCAAATATGTGCCACAAAATATATTAAATGGAACCACATACAAACATGCTATCATAAAGATATATTTCATCTCACTCGTCTTTTAAAGCGCTTACGTAAGAACCCTTGTTACGAGTGTGATGATAGTGGTTCTTGAGCTA